TTGCCTCTCAGAATAAATCCTGCAGGAACCTTTCTGGGTGGAGTTTGCATGTTCTTTCTGTGCATGTGTGGGTTTTCTCCAGGTACTTCAATTTCCTCCGTTTCACAAAAAATATTGACGTTAGGTTAACTGGTAACTCTAAATTGTCCCTAGGTGAGAGTGTGAATGCTAATGTCTCTATGTGGACCTGTGATGAACAAGTGACCTGTCCAGGGTGTAACCTCGCCCCTGGAACAGTGACTTCTGGACATGGGCACCAGTAACCCAAAAAGGAAGGAGTGGTTAAAGATAAAGGATGGTTCTGTTAAAATGGCAGTTCTATACAACACAATCTGTCATTCCTTAATACTGAAGGCCAAGAATTCTTTGATAGAATGCATCAGTGCCCATCATGCCCAAATTTTAGACTAAGATCATGTTACGTTGGAGAAATTATAGTCAGGGCTGTTTTGGTCAAACTTTGATAATAATATTTTGCACAATCTCGTGCAGTATTACATGTTATGCTCAGACAGTGTTTAGTGGATGAATCTCAGCTACTATCACATCAAATAATAGCTCAATACCTTTAAAACTGATGAAGTTATACTCATTTTTGTGTGTTTTTTATGGTCATTTAACTGTAGACGTACATACATCCACTGATTACATTCTGTAAGTTTCAGTGAATCTGTGTTGTGGTTCGTAGTAATTTACCAGCACACACAACAGTGGCTAAAAACGTTATCGCCTGCCTTTCAGCGGCAGGCAGACGATAAATATTTGTGTCTCACAGTGTTACACGTTCATGATTTAATGTTCACTGCTTGTTGTGAACGACTTGTTCCAGTGTGGCGCTGACAGGGGACAATCAGTGCATCTATTACAAGAAGGGACTCCGGAGAGGAGCTGCCTCCGAGTGGGGTTAACCCACACATCCACTCTCACAACGTCAGAACGACGACAAAGAGCACGCCTGGGCCTGACATCTGGTCGCAGCTGTTAATCTTCGCTGACCGATCGGCACCGGGTTGGAGGTGGGGGTGGGGGG